CCGTGTCCCTGGCGGAAACCAGGAGCGTAATACGTACGTACGTACGTATGTACATATTTTGTTCCAAATCGATTTAAATTTTACGCCAAAAAAAAAAGGTTAATGTTCCATGCGGTCAGACAATTCCAATTGTTTAAAAATACGCAAAAATAACAAATTAGATTATTTTCGGCGAGCGATTTTAAGTTGAGGTTTGATAGATAATGTATGTACTACGGCGATAATCATATGAATGAACATATCAGTATGACCGCGTCATCCTAACATTTCGGCACGGAAAAATATAATAAGCTAAATCTATATATAAAGACCACGCAAACGTGGACAAATAATTATTTCCACTTCCTTTAAGTATAAAATTTGTTCTCACATTCTAATAAATGATTATTTCCCCTTCTTCAAGTCTAGTGCTTGTTATCTTATTTCCATTCGCACATTTATATATGTATATGTTGTAAGTAGGAACGGAATTTGGAATTTCAGGAATAGGGTTAGGGTGTAGGTTTATATAAAATGAATTCTACCCTAAAATCATGATTTTATTAAGATTTCGTTCCCACTTACAACATATACATAAATGTACTCCAGCTGATAGCAATAGTAGCACCAACGTTATGATTTAGCAATATTAAAAACAAATCAAACTAGTTATTTAATATATTTAACGAATAATCACCGCAAATAGTAATGCAAATGGAGAATCAAACTTCAAAATTTGTTACGTAGTAAAATGATACGGAGTACGTAATTAGAAATTGAAACTAACACATCTGATTTGTTAATCAGTTTACGAATTAGTTTAAGTTTTTCAGCATCAACTGTGACAATGAAGACATATTCTGAGACGAGTTTTCTAATTTTGATTTCGTTCAATAAGTCAATTAAATCGGTGATTAATTAAATTTTTTAAGTGGTAGATTAATGATTCGACCATTTTACTATTAGCTAGTTATGGTGAAAGAATATAGAACATGCCAATGTCATGCATTGTCATGCCAATAATTAATCTTTGCACATAAAAAGTTAATATTTTTTCTTAAATTGGAGCATAAGCGTTATTTATAATCATTTGACAAGTTTCGATGTTAGTATAAAGTTGAGGTGAGTTAGTAGAAACGTACAAAATTTTCTTTATCGAAATCTTTAATAATAATAAACTTAACAAGAAAACCAACTTTAATAAAAAATTTTTACGAGATTTTAGACTTAATTTAAAAAATTTTTGTTAAATTTAGTTAAGTTTCAAAATTCAAAAGGTATTTACTTTGAAAAATTGTCATCTCTACTGGCTAACCCCGTTTAATTTTTCCTATTTACTGCTTTTCCCTTAGAGCTTAATTCGTTATCCGCTGGATACTGAATTTGATAATAAACTCTGTCGGATATCCATTAAATTTGACGGTGAAATCCGTCGGTATCCTAAATTGGATAGTGAAATTCGTCGGACATTCGTTAAATTTGATAGCGAAATCCTTCGGATATCTGTTAAATTTGATAGTGAAATCCTTCGGATATCCGAGTGAAACCAGTCGGACATCCGTTAAATTTGATATTGAAATCCGTCGGATATCCATTAAATTTGATAGTGAAATCCGTCGGATATCCATTAAATTTGATAGTGAAATCCGTCGGATATCCATTGAATTTGATAGTGAAATCCGTCGGATATCCATTAAATTTAATATGAAAACGGATAACGGATTCAAGTTCTATTTCTCGTTTAATTTTTCAATTCTTCATTTGATTTCTTGATTAATTACTGGTTACAAAGTATCATGAAATTCAGGTAAGTAAACTTGATATATTAATCAGTCGCTATGATGAAAAAGAATAATTTTGTGTGCGAAAGTATTTTCAACATCAAAATATTCCTCCAAAGTGAAATCAAGTACACCTTTTTGTTTGCAAAAAATATTAATTTCTATTATTTTATTTCATAAAACGAAAGGGTAAGAAGCATGTTAGCAATAGAATGTTAGGAGTATATTGTATTCGATTGCCTTGAAGTAGATGATACTTGCCGTATTTCTGAACAAGTCATAATCAGTCACAATAAACTACAAAAAAATGGTAGTAAGTATATTTTATATCATAAATTTTAGTACGTCATTAGTAGAAAAAATTTTGAAGCGAAACAAAAAACTACACAAATACGTACCTACTTAATGAAATAATAATTGGGCTTGTCCTAATAAGCAATTATTTAAATTCAAAAGTTCTTGACATTCATTAACGACATTCATATATATTTTTTTTCTTCTGTATTAAGGTGAGATTCTTTATCTTATTTTTATTAGTAATTTGTATAAAGATCCATATGTAGATTCTTAAACTATATTACAATAATTGAGACACAGACTATTAATGGAATATATATTTTAACTTATCTACAAAACCTAAACCTGCTAGAATTGTTAATGTAATTCATAGTTTAAGAATGTCTTAATATTATTATAATATAAATAAGATGAATCGAAAAAAAAAAGAAAAAAATATAATGATTGTTCTTATGAATTTAAACCAAAATCATATTTTCAGCCATAAACTACCCATGGACAACCATAACCGATTATTAAAACGGCCTTTGCATAGTGCCTTGGGGTGACGGTGACATAGGAGAAACAGGTGATGTTGGCTCAGGTGTAGAAGGGCTAGAACCTAGTAAGATTTAATTAGCAGTTAGTATTTTAGTTAAAGAGAAAAAAACATGGAACAAATTTCGGTTGACAAAACACATATATATATGTATATATATTTACGTGGTTTTCTGCCTCGTTTTTTATTTTGAGTACTACCACACTGAAAACCTTTTTCTTTGCATCTTCTACAAGGACGTTGAGTCTCACATTTTGCATGAGAAGTTTTACAATTTTGACAAGCAGTTGTAACATTTTTATGCTTTCGTTGACCATGTAACGGTTGAGAACCATGTGCAAAATAATCATTTGTGTTGATACCAGGAACATAATATTGCGGTTGAGGTGAAGCGCTTAAGTCAGATGAATAACCATCAGTCATTTGAGAATGTATGCTGTATTCACTATCACAGCTTCTTGACAACGGAGAAACCACCGGCGTGCACTGAAGCCATTGAGATAAAGCTACTTCGTTTGATATTAGAGAGGCCGGCACTGGAGAATGAAACGAGGTAATCAATTGCGAATCTGAGAAATAACCGTTATCATCATCTGATATTGCAGCATTAAATGGTGACTGTGGATCAGAATAATATTCTTTATCATCTCCAGATGTTAGCGCATAATTAGAATTAACGTCATAAGGAGAAATGGGAGAAAGAAAATTCTGTTGAAAATTCTGTTGATAATTCGGTTGATATTTCTTCAAATTACTTTCTTTGACGAAATTAGCATTTTCTAATGGAGCCCCATGCACTTGAATTTGCGGTTGGTTTATAGAAAAGAAATTCAAACTACTGAATTGATTATTTGTTTCATCAACTGATGGATCTTCAGTTGTAGTGTAAAAAAGTTGTTGTTGAATGGGTAGACGAAGTTCTGGAATATTACGGTTAGTCATTGTTATTTCAACTTGCCCTTTCGTTTTTTTAATGAGAAGTGGCTAGAAAAATCCCACAATATATAGAAAAATCATTGGTTTGACAGCCTAAATTCCGTATGCATCGGAATCTTCTATGTCCCGGAACTTTAGGGAATTTTAACGCAGAGTTACTAAATCGGCAATATGAGCTTTTCGAGTATTTTTCTATTTATTATTGTATGACGTTACGATTCTGGAACTGAAACTACGTATTAAGAAATGATCGTCATATATGACGTACTCGTTTTGCTTAACTTCTTATTAAAAATTTTCCTTCATGAATCTAGAATTTATTTTTTTTCAGATTGTACAATCAAGTTTTTTTGGACCTTTAAGATTATGAAAAAATTGACATTTTTCTAAAAGAAAAACTACTAAACACAAGTGTCAAACTCAACCGAGTTATTTTATTTATGGTATATAATTACATATGAATTAAATAATGAAACAATAATAATAAAAATAAAATATTATTTATCTACATTCGAGATTCGTGCGGCTTTTATTGGATTGCAGAGTCGTTCAGGTATAGTAATAATCAAATTAAAATATTAAAAAATTGAAAATAAAAAAGTTAAAAAATTGAAAATTAAAAAATTAAAAAAAAAACTGAAATTAAAAAAAAAATTAAAAAATTGAAATAAAATTGAAACTAGTTTGCGGTGTGGTGGTTATATAAATTAGCTACGCTGTGATGGTTACGTTATACGACATAAACTGTTCATAATAGTAGTTCCGTAAATGGTACGTCTCTCGGAATCCATGTTAAATCTTTGAAATTAACGTAAGTCATTTT